GGCGCTGATCCAACCTCGGTGCCCGGCTCATAACCTCTTAACGGAACTGGATAGAACTTATGTTACCCGACGAGTAGCCACAGTAGGATCTACTCAGCGAGAGTTAGGACCAATGGGCACACCTGGTCCACAAGGACGAGTAAAGCCTGTAGCGGTAGAACGCAAGCACAAGTGACGAGTTCAAAAGAACCGAGTTTGCGGAGTAGAAGGTGAACTTTCCATGCGTCGCCACGATGGGCAAACTCAACGCGGAAGAAGTCTTCGTATCGTTTTGAACTAAGAATCAAAGGTTACGTTGGCCGCAGTATTGAACAAAAACTCGGTGATACTGTTGGCAGCTTGTTAACTAGACTCAGCGTGACTCAGACGTGACTGTCCTAGGGAGGACACAGCAAAAGCGTTCAGAAATAAACTCCATCAGCCTCATCTGCTGCTGCAGGATCAGCTTGATATCACCACTATCGATGCTCATTGATAAAGCAAAGCCCGTCGCCAGATTGTTGCGATCCTACGACCACTAATGCGATTAGGAACAAACACGCACGGAAGAACTGAACACACAACGAAATCATGGCACAGAATCACAAATGCAACACAAATGCAGTACCAGTCTGTAGCCCCAACCCCGGGAGAAAAAGGCAGGACCTCAAGCACGAGATCGATTCACACGCCAACACGAGACAGACCAGAAAGTGATGAAAACTCATGATTGGTTTAGGTCACTCAATTGCCTTGTCAAATCAGCCAATCACAATGCTCGTTTGAAGCGGAAACAGATAGCGCGCACCGGTAAAAATCAAAAGTGGTGGCTAATAAAAAAGCCATGGTTTAGACTGATTCTAGTGTAGTCCTTGGGAAATATGGTCATTTCCCAACATCATTATCAATGAATAAAGATCAGACGAACATAGTTTCCTGGGCAAATGGGTTGGAAATAGGATACGCTTGTCTCTGTAAAGCCGGACCGTTGCTTCTGACCTAAATCGTCCTCCTGTGAGCCATGACAGTATTTCAGTCCACATAAAACCATAACTATTCCACCAAAATTCAACATCCCGCATCGACCATCGCGCAACCCTGCTGCATACAACAGAGCAGATGAGCGAAAACACCCTACTGCTGGCGCCTCCTTTTCTTATTTTCCACGTGATAATCTCACGCTTCTCCCGGCCACACTACTAACACTCATCCCAAAGTCTCCGACCTAATTGACAGCATCTGCAATGTCTCTGCAGTTTTAACATTCGCAGCTATCGTCCCGTACTACATAGTGGACTCCGATCGATAACATCCCCGTTGTCAGGTCAAGCCGGCCCGTTTTTGTGGCGGCGTTCAACGTTCGCACTCTAAGACAAAGAGTGCCAGTAAGCTGCACTCGCACAAGCGTTTAACACCCCGTGTATCGATGTTTGTTGCGTGTCTGAAATTAGGATTAATGAGGCTCACGGGATTGTTGAACTAAACACTCCCGCCTTGTCCTCTCGCTATTGGCTCCATGCTGATGCGACAGCCACTGGTCATGCTCCGGCGGGCATCGTTCTCAGCCCAAGGGCTGAGTCATCATTAGTTGATTGGATTCCTGTGAACAGCCGTTTGCATGCAATCCGTGAGACGACACCAACTACAGTTGATCCAAGAAGTAGTGCTAGATGCTGTTTGTTTGTGGTTTCCACTCATGCCCCCGCCGACTGCAGTTCTGATGCCACCACGAATTTAACAATCTGCTTCGCGACGTCACCGGTTCAGATATCGTTATTCCTGCAGGAGGTATAAATGCGAAAGTGGGTAGTTGATCTCCTCAGAAGCTCATCTAGGATGTAACTATGGGGGTTGTAACGAACAGACGGACAACAGTGAGGTTCTGTTGCAACCGCAGGCAGAGCACCGGATGTTTCATTGCAAAACTTCTGTTGGAAACAGTGCGCGTTGAAGTGCCACTTGGCGCCTTTCTATGTTTGGCCAGCGAGGGACCCAAATAGACCACGCCACCATAAGCCACAGATGGCATGGTTCCATTATGGAGTGTCACGCGTATTGGGACGCGTGCGTCCACTCTGATCAGACTCTGGTACGAAGTCGTTTTTCCATAAACTCGACCGGTATGCGTACTGAGCGTCTTCACTAGACTGGATACTGAGAAGTTATCGCCAACCACCATCAGGCAAACCTACCAGACTGCCCTGTGTGTTGACGTTTCATTCCCCAGCACTGACACACCGACCATTAGTGGAATAAAAGTTCGGCTGCCATGCACAATGCAGGAGCAACAGCTTGCGGCGAGATCAATCGTCACAGCACCTGTCACCGGATATTCGAGAGATTGATAAACCGGTTGGAGTCCAGAAGAAAACTCCCTGCTGATTCTGAGCTTAATGTAACCAGATGGACTACTAGCACGAAACAAAAGAAAGTGTAGCATGATGGACCTAAATGTATCGGGAAATGTAGGGGAGCGATACCAGTAGGCAGTGATCTAAGGCTCTTCAAACTGATTAACACAACTGGTCCCAGGAATCCATGTGTCAATGAGACGTGCAAGGACAGCATGGGCGCCCCAATTGACAGCAAGGAACGGCATTTGGGTCAGCAGGCAGAGCATTTTCGATAGCAGTTCAGCTGATCCGCCGCTCCTAGATCACTCCCTGTCCAGTTGGTGCAGGCTGGATGATAGCCCACAAGCCTAGAAGTGCCATCGGAGGCGGAGGTACGAAATGGGATCAGAGTGCGTAGCTGTTTCCGTGCTGTTGGTTACAACTCCTTGGCACTTGCTCGATTTCAGGGCAGTGCTGAGGTTCGCGACAAGGAACTGATCAACCTGTTCGACCAGGTATGGAAGGAACAGATCACTTCAGCCAACAGGAGTGAATGGATTACAGTGGCAATATGCAAGAGGGGCAGTCGCACCATACGTGCTAGCCACAGAAGTATTAAACTTATTTCTGGTGGTGGCCAAATGACTGGTCGCGATACCCGTCCGTCGTCTCACTACAGATCGGGGATACAAGATGAGGGAGGAGCAGGCAGGTTTTCGTCCAGAACGGGGTTGGGTAAACCATATGTTCGCTCGCAGCAGGTGTTAGAACAGCGTAATATGTGCGTCGAATCAATCGATTGCACCGTCATTCTCGAGATACGTGCTCGGTGTCCAGATTAAATATGTGAACATTTTCGTGCCCTGTACTCGAACGCCACAGGCCGAGCCAGGGTCTACGGTGACTTGTCCGATGTCTTTCCAGCAAAAAGTGAAGTTCGCCAATCATCCCAATTTCCCACTTTCAACCACCCTTATCGTGGACTCTACCGTGGAGTGTTCACTTGTGAAATCATAAGGTGTAGGCAATGTGATGTGCTGCCAAGCAAAAAACCAGTTGATGTTGATTATGCAAATGATATGGCCTTGCTGTTTTAAAGCACTGGAGTGGCTCAGTCATGCTTGAATAACTTCCCTAGAGTGGTCCCATCATTTGGCATGCGCTTCGCATCTTCGAAGTGCGCAATGTTGTTGTAAGACCATCGGCCACTTGAGAATTCCTTGGTTCGGCAAGAAACTCGAGATAGTTGATCACTTCACATATCTTGGCATGCAACAGCTGAAGTTAGTTCGTGTATTACGAGAGAGCTAGAACTGATTTATTGAATCTGTGACATCTAGGCAGTAAGAAAGAGGTTACGCTTTTTACAAGACCACAATGAGGACAGTACACCTTTATAACAGTGAGACTTAGTCCCATTGATGTGAGGACCTAAGCTGCTTGCAAGTCTTTAAGCATCGACGTCTACAGAGCGTTTCTGATATCGGATGGCACCAGGGTGTACGCACGGAGGATTTGCGTAAGCGAATGCTAGACAGTGATAATCAGGCTAGTTACTGAGAACAATAAATATCATTGATGAAGTTGCGTCGGCTTGGGCCCATACTGCGTATGTCCGGTCACCGCTAACCGAAGACAGTCATGTTTTGTTTGCAGGATGCATGGTAGCATAAGGCTCGGGGTGGACGAAAGTTGACTTGGTAGAGGGAAATAGAGTCCACGTGATCCGCCCTGTGTTTGGCTCGAGATGCTACAGTACACGGCTCGCAGTCGGCAGCAGTGGCCCGTCTACGGGGTAATGACTGATTACGACGCGAAGCAGTGAAAACTGTAAGAAGACGATCTCGTACGATAGCCACCTGTTAGTGGTCTGATTTTGTTAACAAAATGTAAACCCTGAATGTTTAGGTTCTATACTAGGTTCCCCCTCTTGCCCTCTTAGTATTCTTCTTTAGGTTATTGTAATTGTAGGGGGCAGCAAAGTACCAGTTCAAGTTGTCGATGCACTGTTGTTGCTGAGAACCGATGGGCGGCTACACTTCATTCATTAGGAATAATCACGCCCAGTAGCATGGAGTGATTTCATTGAACTTGTTCCAACCGTGAAAAATCCACACTGAACTCCACAGAGTTTAGGTTCTGGTATCTAAGCAGCAATACGATGAAAAACTCTACCACGGACCTACATAGCAAAGCAGAGTCTCGCGAAATACACTCAACCAGCCATGTTATCAAAATGGACAACAAGGGTGAAAAACAGTCAAGGCATCAAATACAAAACGAAAAGACCGTTTCATAGTTAACTGGTCTTGTCAGTGCACGGTGGTGTTTGTATGCGATTCACGAAACGATTGATGATAGAGACAGTGATAAATGAACAAGAAAAGCTAGGTCAAAGGTGATGGCACAAGTTGCTTACTGTACATTCTTCCAGCTGCGAAATGCATTCCCCTGAGTCCATATGAGGTTTTCGACCAGCGACTTCCGACGAGACGTCGGCGTCCCCGTGCGAACGAGTTCCGTATAGCAGAGTCAGACGTAGCAGTTCGGGCGCGGTGTATGGAGTAACAGGAAGTTTGGACAAACGGATGCCAAGTTCGCGTTTTCGCTAAGAAGCAGAGCGTATCAAGAGGTAAACTGATGATTCATGAAACCGAGGAGACTAAATGAAATCCTAAGAGACCTAACCACCTCCAAGAATACGTTAAGGCTGTGGGCTTTGTGATACTGTTAAAACGAGTGACGAAGAGGTCATCAAAAGCGGTGGATGTGGATGAGAGATACAGGTCAACAATAGGAGTAATGCTAATGAGTAGTGGGGAGTATGAGTGTAATTGCAGTAGTAGGCTGTCGCAGTCCCCTCTGTCAGCACGTCTGGAAAAGCACCAGACAGCTGTTTCGATTTTCCGAGTCTCGTCAATGATGCGCCTTCCTCGGACCCCTGCCGGGTTCCGACCCCATCCAGAAGTCAGGGTGTTGGGACGCATCAGGGGGCCGAGGAGGACGCACCACTGACGAGACCCAGAAGGTCGACACAGCAGTCTGGTGCTTTTTTAGACGTGGCAAAACCTGCTGACCGAGAGGGGACTGCGATGAACGACTTCTGAAATATGAGTAATGGTTTTTGATGAACAAACATATGCTTAATATAGTTCCAGCTCATAGGAAGGTGAAACAAACGCAAACCATTTCTTTCACCGGTTCACTGCCACCACCATCCCCATGAGAACCGTACAATGCAGCATGTGCTCGATTTATGATAATTTTCTTTATTGCTGTTTTAACAACATGACAACGATTGAAATGTCCATGCATCATTCCAAAGTGCACGGTTTTTTTGGAATAACTTCCATCACGTAACCACCAGTCACCGAATGCAGACGGCCTGTTGACAACCTGGCCAAGCATGCATGTGGCGAATTCGAGCGTTTGGTTAATGTGGTCCTCTAGTCTATAGATAGAAAGATTGCATTAGGGAACACAGAGGAGGTTTAAATTTCGAGTCGATGAACAAGTAACGTTTCGGTTCAGCATCGAATGAGTTAATTGTAATGTCGCTTGGCATTAGGGGACCAAACCCAAGGAAACCGCAGGGTAACAACGATGAATATTTTCGCTTTTTGTCGTTGCGTCAGACGCAGTACATTACTATGCCTTCAGTAGAAGACGGCAAGAAACACTTGGACAGATAAGGGAAATTAAGATACTACTAGCTGCGGAGTCCGTGGATCAAATGTCTATTTGTGTATAATGTACTGCTAAGAAGAACAAGTCTATGAGACGCAAAGCGTAATTTATAATTCACGTGCACAAAGAAGCAAACAGGTGATTGGGGAAGAACGCGCATGGATGTGAGTTTGAAACGAGGGTTCAAACTGTGCAGGGTGTATGCGAAGAAAGATCGAGACAAGCCGGTTGCAATAAACTCTGTCATGGGGGAGGTGCCAACAACTGTCCACGGTTTGTGTGGAAACTTAAGTCGAGGAAAGTCAGTTGCACATATAGACACACACGGACACATACAAGCAGGGGACTTAGTACAAAAAAGATCATAAATTGAGCAAGAACTCAAACACAAGTAACGGTTTAGTCCTGTGTCCAAGTAAACAAGTATGACATGGATACCGAAATGTGGAAGATCTGGGGCTACCTGACTAGCATCGACATGGCAAAGTGGTTTGACGCGAATCAATGAAATTGGGAAAAGATATAGTTGATTACAAAGTGTCGAAAAAACACCAAGGTTACGAGATGGAAGGACTAGGAGTAATAAAGCATGGCAAAGCTTGTCAAAAACGATCTGCAAGATGCATCAGAACAATTTCGCATAGCAATGATATCTGAGCCAGAATATGTAACAACATGGTAGCGAAAAGTATGTATTCGAGGGGAGATAGGGAGGACGATAAGACACTCCTCCTAGCGGAACACCGATACATTACATGTACAACCGAATGGTTGACGGACAACTTACAGCCAACTTTTCGTCGCGTAGCACCAATCTCAACAGCAAACACATTGGGCGAGTGAGGGACCGATAGGCACCTGCCGTAGGACACTGTGACGCAATCGCTCGCAATAGACGTTGTAAACCGAGGCGTCGCAACGACCGTACTGACGCTTTGGGCAAGGGTGCATCAGCCTCCATCAGTGCGATCTCATCTTCCTCCTCTTCGGTGTTCAAAGCGTCATCATCCTCAGCGTAGCCAGGGTCACCGGGACAAGGGACTGACGACTCCAGAGGGGTTAGCGCAATTTTCGGCGAAGCAGAGGTCACATCTGTTTCTGCGTCCACTTCTGTATCCTCCAAACCCTCCAACAGTAGAGTTTGAAAACAATGAAAAAATTCGGCCAGACCCAGCAGACGACCAAACAAGTGTTCCGTCACGCCAGGTGGTAGCTTTAGCGGTGAAGTCGGTGGTAATGGAAGACATTTCTCCTGATTTCTGCTAACAATTTCTTGATCATCGCACAACCGGTTAGCATTCAGGCGCTCTAAACGCTGTTTCTCTCGCTGCTGTTGTAAGTACGCCTTGCGCTGATCCGGAGTCATATTCAGGCTGAAGTGCAAGGCAGTGATAGAGAGAGAGAATGGAATAGGACATACACACAAGCTAGGTATAAGCAACTAAGTAATGGCCAGAGGAGGAAAGCGTGACTAGTGCTAGAGCTGGTTATATATATATATATATATATATATGTATGTATATATATATATATATATATATATATATATATATATATTTGCCCCATGCTGAGGCTGATGTTGCATTCTTGATGCTTCTTCACCGCAGTTGGGCTAAACCAACTTACACTTAAACTAGGTCTTTTTAAGCTGGATAAATTTCATTCCGCTTTATTTGGTTTGTTCTGCCTCCCTGAATAATGTTCTATTAACTGGCCACGTTGCTTACACGAATTGCGCTTATCTTCGGTAATTTTGTTGCGTTTGTAGCATTTTAAGTAACTTGTGGACATTTCTTACTTATCACGGATTTGTTGCTGACCAACTTACCTCATATGGTAATTTGCGAAGAGTTATGCCACCGTATCTGTATGCATTGTTGGATTTATTTTATTTCAGCTTGTCGTTTAAATTGAATGGCTGTTGTTTGATATCCCTGGTATGGTTGCGCTTGATGTGTATGTTGACAAGGTGCCTACCTGTCTATTACCCACTACATCGTTCATACTGGCTCCAGGAGACAGTTGGTCGTTGCTGAAGGGGACGGGGTGCACGGTTCTTGTGGCCGTGCTAGGCTCAAAGAGCGGTTCCATGCACTCAGTGTGGAGCGGACTACGGTCCAGCCACCGCCTTGTGTGCGGTTGATTCCCCAAATACAGCGTGCTTGTGTTTGCCTGTGAAGGAGTGTGGGCCGGCTCCGTTGATGAAACGTGGTTCCCATCCGCATGCCTCCCGGTCTTATTCCTTCGGGTTTACACTGGATATGGGGTATGTGGTTGGAGCTGTGGGTGGTGCAGCGCAAGCCATCCATGGTCCCTCTGTAGGCGCAGGCGTCCTGTGGCTTGCCACAGTGACAGGCGAATCCGAAACCGGATGCCGCCAACCATGTATGTATGTGTGCCCCATGCTGAGGCTGATGTTGCATTCTTGATGCTTCTTCACCGCAGTTGGGCTAAACCAACTTACACTTAAACTAGGTCTTTTTAAGCTGGATAAATTTCATTCCGCTTTATTTGGTTTGTTCTGCCTCCCTGAATAATGTTCTATTAACTGGCCACGTTGCTTACACGAATTGCGCTTATCTTCGGTAATTTTGTTGCGTTTGTAGCATTTTAAGTAACTTGTGGACATTTCTTACTTATCACGGATTTGTTGCTGACCAACTTACCTCATATGGTAATTTAGCGAAGAGTTATGCCACCGTATCTGTATGCATTGTTGGATTTATTTTATTTCAGCTTGTCGTTTAAATTGAATGGCTGTAGTTTGATATCCCTGGTATGGTTGCGCTTGATGTGTATGTTGACAAGGTGCCTACCTGTCTATTACCCACTACATCGTTCATACTGGCTCCAGGAGACAGTTGGTCGTTGCTGAAGGGGACGGGGTGCACGGTTCTTGTGGCCGTGCTAGGCTCAAAGAGCGGTTCCATGCACTCAGTGTGGAGCGGACTACGGTCCAGCCACCGCCTTGTGTGCGGTTGATTCCCCAACTACAGCGTGCTTGTGTTTGCCTGTGAAGGAGTGTGGGCCGGCTCCGTTGATGAAACGTGGTTCCCATCCGCATGCCTCCCGGTCTTATTCCTTCGGGTTTACACTGGATATGGGGTATGTGGTTGGAGCTGTGGGTGGTGCAGCGCAAGCCATCCATGGTCCCTCTGTAGGCGCAGGCGTCCTGTGGCTTGCCACAGTGACAGGCGAATCCGAAACCGGATGCCGCCAACCATATACATATATTCACAGTCTGTTAACAGACATTGTGCCATCAGAACCATGGCAGAAGAAAAAAGTGGAGAAGATAGAAACACGAACTGCGATATAAAAAAGATCGAAAGGATTTTTTGGGTTCTACACACACCATTATGAATATTTTGTTTCTGTTTTGTTAGTTTTTTGTACGTAATAAAGGGTGGATATAATGGCAGAACAACATTGATGCCACTGATGTCTGTTACGGGCCATGACGTTCAATGTTTCCAACCACTGAGATCCGGCATCTCGTGGTCCCCAACCTAGAAGACGGACTGGTCCGACTGCCGCCAAACTTGAGGTTACCTTCTTCCTGCTCCTTCTCCACGTCATTGGCTGTCCACGGCGACACATTTTTCAATCGCTCCCTGGGAGTGCAAATAGCGCTCGACGTAGAAGGCGATGGGCTGGCATGCGCAAAACGTGTCCGAGCCAACGCACGCGATGTCGGAGAATAATGTTCTGAAGACTGGCACTACTCGCTCCAAACCCTCGGTCTTGCACCTCTGCGTTGCTTACGTGGTATTGTAACCACATCCGAGCAATCTTTCGTAGACAGTGATTGTCGAAGGCTGACAGCCGCTTTATGTCTTCTGAGCAAATAGGTCGTGTCAAAGCCGTAAAAGAGTACTGCACAAACGGAAACATGGCAGTTCTGGCTTTTGCAATGTGTGAACTGATTTCAGTTGTTATGCGCCCATCATTGCTGATACAGCCGCCAAGGTAAGTGAATTGATCAATTATCTCGAGTTCCTCGCTATCAAGTGGCTAGTGGTCCTGCAACAACGCTTTGCATTTTGAAGGTGCGAAGCGCATACCAAATGATGGGACCACTTCCGGTGTAAATAGGTGTAGTTATCAGATTTCTCTTCAGAACCGAGCTTCTGATTGGCGATAACTTCAGCCGGAACATCCTGCGTTATCGATCCACTGAGCGCCAGCGCCAGTTTTATTGCACCGACTATGTGGGAGCGTTAGTTGAGAAGTTTATTTTCATTGGCCGACCGCTACCGGCGCAGTCTCGAGTGCAGTGTGTCAAAGGTGCGTTAGGTGACTCGACTGCAGCGAACTTATGCGTAGACAAATAAACACCTTATAGGTGACAGTGACATCAGGCGGTTGTATACACCTTCGACCGAAAGATACCTGAGGGGGGCGGTCTGGCCAAGAGAAATGGCTGCTCTTTCAATTCTCCCATTGTAAGAGAGAGAGTGAAATTGAACACGAAAGGGAAGTTGTTATGCACAGCAGATTCAAGCAAGTCATCCGCAAAGTCAGTGGAAACCATAACAAATTTCTGGAGGCATCACAACAGTAGTGTTGATAAAATGAGAAGATAAGAAGAAGAAGAAGAAGGCATCAGCAATACACCGGCGCTTCGTTGCCACGTGACTACCGTCAGTCTTGTGTGCACGGAGGATACTGTGAGGTCGCTCGCACTCACAGGCGACCTTTGAGTTACAAGGTAGATGTCTCATCTGTTGGGCCACCGACCGACGGACAAAAAAGATCAGGTTTCTCACAAATGGCCAACTAATGAACACAGATACGTGTTAAGGGAGATCAATCTAGCCAGATGATGCAACTCACGTCTGATTTCGACGGGACAGTGTACAAATGAGCCTAACTTTGGGCATCAATCCACGTAACAGTTCACGCAGAAGTCGATCGAGTAAATGACGCTGTGGGAAGGTGGATGGAACGAATACCGTTCAGCCAGAGTGTACTTTGGATAACATATATTGGGATGAGAGCAGTCAGATCAACTCAGAAGGGATCGCAGACGAAGACAGTTTTTAAAATCGGTGAGAGTCAGAAAAGGAGTAAAAATAAACAGAAGTCAAGGTTTTTGACAGTTTACATCACCCATAACCAATGTGGGGGGGGGGGGGGAGAAGTGAGCATCGAATCGCACCCCACAATGACTGTCATCGGAGGCCGCTACAGGAACAAGCGCTGAAATAACCGAGGATTTGTCCGCACAACGCTGGCACGGAGACCAGGTGTTTTCAGTCAACAATGACCCGGTGCGGCTCAATAGTTGGAGCGGACTCTGACTGCTGTCCGGATAAATCAGCTCGCATGTATGAACAAGCCAAACCGCGTGAATCTCTGACCCATTGTACGAAAAGAAGTGCGATAAGACGTAACATCGAGGAACGATGCCGAACAAATTGGCAGTGTAAAACTTAGAAGGGACTAGGAGTGCTTCAAAAAAAGCAGTTGTAGATGTGTGATGATCGATGAGAGACCAGTCAGTCAACCAATTGAACGTTTAACTTTCGCCTTACTCGTCAGAAATAGAGTCGTAATAAAGAGGATAACTTACTGTTGGTTCACACAACATGGATATAGAATCAGGGCATTCATAAGCATTTTAGAAACTAGACATACAGAATGGGGCAGAAAAAACCTACAGCTTCTTCCGATAATCGATAGCTTCGCGCCGCGCGGCTACTTTTTCACGAAGCTCCCTTGGCAAGTTAGAGACGTCAGCATCGCTGAGAAGTTTAGCGCACATGTTGATGCATGAGGCCAGCATGGCATCTTCGGCGTTCTCTGAGAACAGCTGGATCAAGTGCTGTGCCACCCGAGGTAGAGCGGGGGTGGAGGGGGCGGCTTTCACGGGGGTGGATGAATCATCCGTCGGGGCAGAAGACGCTGGGGGTGAGGCTTTTTTTGGTTTCCGACCCAACTGGAAGAGAGTGGCCTGTGACAGACAAGAGAAAAGGGATAGCTATTGTAGGTCATGAAAATCTAAAACATCAGACAATCATATTAAAGGTTGGCAGCTAGGTAACACCCCGGCTAGAATGCGGAGATAGATGTGAACAAGACGGAAAGACGGAAAATAGCTCATGAAATTGATAGTATCTCCCAGGGTCTCACAAAACACAACTTTGGAAAGATGGAAAAAAGAGGGACAAGAGAACAGTAGAACTAACGACAATATAGTCACTAGGCGAGGTGTCTAATGATAAGCAACTACAAGCCGCTGAAGTAACCGCATCTATTAAAATGATCAAGGTTGCTACCACAAAGTCCTCTTCCGACTGTCGGCTTAGTGACAAAGAGCATACATGAGCTTTTGATCAGTTCTGGTGGGAAACGTAGAAGTAGCTGGGGAAAAAGCAACTCATTTGCTTTGGCGATAAAATCAAGTACGGTGAAGTGGAAATTGTGATGAATATGAAGGTTTCAGTCATGCAGAAATACGCTAACCTGCAGTGACTACGAGCAATTCTCAACACAGCGGAGGAAGAGAATCAGAGGCCATTTAATGTTTGGGAAAAACTACTATACTTGGTTAACATATTTAAAAGAGAAGTCTCCAAACGAACTGACCACCGGTTAATCAAACGTGAGTATTACTTTGTTCCCGTGGAAACACGAAATAGAGTGAATTGGTTTTGAGGTGATCCCTTGTAGTGAATTGAGTAAAATGTGGTTAACCAGATAGCCAGTGGGTCAGTGTTTTTACTTAACGATTTCTACTTCAGAGTTAATCAAATTGCAAAAGAACAGCTGACTGGATAGGAAGTTAGGTGTATCAAGCTCCGACACAGCAAAGGTCTCAATAGTGAGTAAACAGACAACATATTTCCTATACACCAACGATTTCCGGCAGTTGCATGGGGGCTGGTGTTGGTGGATGGACAGTGTGGATTTTACTCCAGCCAATGCCAGCAGGATAGGTGGTAGTTAATTCAGAATGCTCGTAGTCTGGGATGTGGATGGTGAGTTGTACCCTTGAGCTAGACGATTTGTGCGTTGGTGCTCCGTTTCCCAGACTAAGTAACGTCAGAGAAAGAGAGGGAATCTGTTCAAAGATGGCCTTGGGACTAGTCGTACTACCTAGAGGACAGGTGATAGCAGGATCTTCAGTAGCACAGAAAAGCAGACGAGTTGATGGCACAGTAACAATGCTTTAAAATTTAATAACTGTTGGGTAGCGGCGTTTGACTGCGCATGTACGAATCGGGAACACTTCGACTACAAGTAAATACCGATGTTTCTTGCACTGAGAACGATGTCTAGGGCAACAATGGACTATTCCACTAAGCAACCTACAAACGTGGAACATGAATTCGTCTCGTGTGTCTTCACAGTGCAGACCATGGCCAATGTGGAAACAGAAGTGTGATGTAACACACTTGTATTGTAACGTCTACAGAGAATAAAAGTAAGAGGTGAGGATGACGGGCGCTAGAGGTGCATGTACGGGTTTACCTACCTGCTTCATTTTCTTCTTCGTGAACTCTTCGGTGGAAGATTTGTTGGAGTCGACTTGTGTGTACTTTTTCAGCACAGTCAATGGCAGATCGTCCTCCGGTTTGTCAGCAGTACTATGCTCGCGGAAGACCGAAAAGCGTTTGGCACGTTTTACGGCAAAAGTCAAATTGGCGCTTGTAATGGTACCATTCTCATTTTGGCTGCTATCCCCACAGAGTTGACGTTCGCACTTTTGTATTCGTGCTAAATACTCGGCCTCCACATCATTGGACATTTGTTTCAACTGAGAACAGGTGTGAGAAAAACCACAAAAGGTGCATACTGTGAAATAATGAAAGCGGGGGATAGTTACGAGTGAAAGAAACCAATATCCAGTTGTGACAAATAAACAATGGGGCATGTCTTGTGCTCTAAAAGTTTGCACCAGAGAGAATATACACTACTCTTCATTCTAAACTGGGCACTTTTCAAATTAAATTGGACGACGTCCAAACCACGATTAGGCTAATGCAACCGAAATTGTGTAAGCAGAAAGCGAAAGTGCAAGTCCTTCTCTTGCCATAGTCATGAGTTGACTTGATCGTGAGCGTCGTATCGATGACCAAGTTAGCCCTCACTGTGACCTCATCGACCTTCGTCCGTGAATGCACCTGTGAAGATACGGGACTAGTATCACGGAGTGGAAAGTCAAACAGCGCAGCCTTTTGCGATTCAAGCAAAATTAGCCTGTGAACTCACGAGAAAACCAAGATAGAGTGCCAAAGACGAAAAAGACGCGTCGGCGAGACATCAATGGTGCAAGCGAACATCCTTGGTGTAGAAAAGATCCTCATCAAGCTTGCGTTCGTTGATGAGAAAAAGTACGTGACACTGCATAAACTGCCGACATCAAGGAGAGCATAAAAAGAAATAACATCAATGCCTAGAGAGAGGGAGGCACCATTGTTCAGCGCAACTGTGGAGTAAACAAGCCAATTCTCGTGCTGCAGCGCATTGAAGATAACGCTAAGAAAATTTCGGAAGAAACCTTAGTGTAGATACAGCAGCGGCTGAGAGAGACCGAGAGCTACTTGGAGGTCTCAACGATGTCTGAAACCATAAGATTGTTAAAAAACGAGCAAGAAGTTCCCCTACCAACTGTGCCGCATCGACAATGTCAAGAAGACTGCAACCGGCAGGCATATGCTCCATATGACAAGGAGAAGTGTATCTTTATAGATCAGAGCGCGTCCAACCTTCAGGTGCGATGGATGCAGGTCCACCCAAGAAGAGGAATGCGCATGAATATCATCTTGCCCAAAAGCAAAGGCTGCATAGAGAATCTAGTTGAAGCGATGGATATGCAGAGTATAGTTCGTCCAACGATTATGAACAATGGAATCTGCAGTGGTGCAAAGTTTTCCATGTTCGTCAAAGGGTTTTTGTCGCATATACGCCGCAGAGTGGAGACGAACAATGTGCGGCTGATCATGGACAACACCGCATGCCGGACGGCCTAAGGAGGATTATGGATTCGTCCTATTCGCTGCATGTTCTGTTGCTAAACCCGCTATAAAACGTGTCATCAAGGGTTAAAATGTTTGGTGAAGTGCTTGCTGACCAACTAGTCTAAGGATCAGTTGCTAAGCGTAGTCATTCAAGAGAGCATCGGAACAGTAATGGCAACAGGACTTTAAGGACTACGTTCTGAAATGATGGTGAAATTGACGCCAGCAGCAGTGGATCAGCCTTCCACCAACTGAACATCACTAACGTTGCTATGATCTTCCTTGTTGGTAAAGTACTAATGTTCTATGCGAAAAATAAAATGTGCCTAGCTGGAGTTGAAAAAAAGGTCCTAAGTGATGGGAAATATCTGGTTTAAGGTGAAAATGACATATGAATAGACTGGTAACGGAAATGGCCCGGGCAATAAGTCACCGCATAACCAGATGGATCAGACACAGGCAAAACGCTAAGTAGGAAAAAGGATGTGATACAAGGTGGGTTAGTATTGCAAACCAACATGCACAAATGAGTCCATGTGACCGGTGACACTGACCACTCATTTCTAGTTATAGAAGTGATTACATAAAATAGGGCAGGTGACCAACTTCGATGACCACCGGCTTCCGTGTGGACTACCATTCAAACACTAAGGTGCATGAGCCACCTGGCTGTCAACGTTCTTCGTATTCAGCTTTGGGTTCGGTAACCTAGATGAAAGGTTTTCTGGCCTATGCGTTGCTATACTCGAGCTTTGTGAGTGTTTTGAGCAATACGTTACTACTTGCTTTCTGTTGCGGGCCCGCCAAATATACCCGCAAAAACGCGTCAGAAACTCCGAAATAATGGTTGTGGAATGCGGGGTCCAACGCCTCCCCACAACGTAGCAGAGTTCAGCCACTCCGAGACGCGGCCCAACTGCGCACCTGCTGACAATATTCTTTTACAAACTACCAGCCGGTCGTGGTAGCAATTTTTCTTAACGTTGGGTGTTTACGTTCGGTAAGTCAACAGTTAGCCAAACCACGTGAGGCTGGTAGTATACTTCGCCCTGCAAGGCCAACCTCGTCCGATCAGAGGCGTTATAATCTCGTGATCTTTCACGCACCGGAGTCCAGTGATCCATCACCTCAAGTGCGTTACGATCACGATGTCGAATTTCTACAGGGTTTAATTGATAGACTCCTCGACGCTGGTGAGGACTCGGTAAAAGTGAGACAGATTACCCGTCTTGGAAAGCAAGGTGATCAACACAATCGGCCTATGAGAATCACTTTTGTGGACGAAGCCAGTCCAAGACTGATCATGTCTCGTCTAAGTAGGCTGAAAGGTTTGAAGATCCATGTTCGTCCCGACCTGGACCCAGTAGACAGGGAGCGGCTCAAGTCTGCCATCATTGAGTTGAAAAGACGCACTGGTGAGGGAGAAACAAATCTTCGTATCGTAAATTTTCGGGTGGTTTCCAACAATCCGCGAATCAGGATAAACAGGCTGCTCACACTTCAAGCACGCCCGGTGGCTCCTGCTGCGGCCTGCGAGTAGCCTTCACAAACGTTTGCAGTATTATGAATAAGCGCGATGAGCTTTGTTATTTCGTTGAGTCTGAGCGGCCAGACGTAGTGGGACTCGCAGAGACATGGCTGCATGCAGAGTTATACACCCAAGAACTTGAACTCAACGGTTACTCGTGTTTCCGATGCGATAGACTAAAGAATGCCCACGGTGGTGTCTTACTTTACATCCGGTCCTCCCTGCGTGGGAGACTTGTGAGCACTGTTGCGGGCACGTCAAATATTCCCGCAAAAACGCGCCAGAAACCCCAGCAGAATAGCCAGCTGCGTCGGTCCGCGAGAACGGTGAAACCTATTGATCGCTACGAACCCGGTTGAGGCAGCTTTTCGGAGGGGGAACGATAATGTGGTAGCCATGTGAGCAAGATCGATTGGCTCAAGCTCATTGGTTGGCTTGCTGACTCATTACTATTGGTTGTGTGCGTCTGTCGCTTGACTCTCCGTTTAACAAGAAGTTGACTCAGATGTACAACGTTAATTTTGCGAGATACATTTTACCTTTCCTACGGCTTTCTTGATACAACACACACTTACGATGACATATCACATTTGTGAATCCTGAAATATCGTGTCAGATATTTTAAATATTACATGAGAACGATAATGATATTCACGGTTGACAATTTTATAACGTTTTTCGCCATATTTCGAAAGAGTTGTACAGAATCCATTTCTACTTGCTCTATAATACAGTATTCAGATAACCCATTGCATTGGCTGTGATTCGTCCCTTTGTTGGTCGTGAAAGAGCCTTCAGAGTACCACTTGTCTTTCTTCTTCTTCGCCTTAGTTGGGAGTCGGTCGGTCACGTGATTTTGTGTGGCGTCGTTAACCGTGCAGTGTTTGCGTCTAAGTCACTAGTGCGCGTCTACCGTAACCCCTCTTGTGTGCGTCCGTTCCGAGGGCTCAGCGTCTACCCGAATACGTGCGGCTAGGATCGTTCTCACGCTCGCTCGATTTCCGTCTCACCAGCGCGTACCCCGGGCTGAGCTAACGCCATCAGGTCAGCGCAAATCCGTTCGATTGGTCAGCGTTCCAGGCCCTTACCGTAGGTGTGCTCCAACAGTGCCAGTGACAATCTTATCAGGCGTTACGCCATCATAAAAGAGGCGTTCCCTCAAATTATAACACTTTCCCATCCTTAAGCTACACATGCTTATCCAGAAAGCCTGGCTCGTATGATGCAAAGCTTCCGGTGAGAAATGTGCACCATCTATTGTGTCGGGAGGAGCCTGTGCATCAGTAGATCAAATAGTAGACAAGTCAGGAGAGGAAAAGCTTCCTCTGTGACCAACAGGGGAGTGTAATCTTGCCCAATTCCAGAAAGCCTTCTTGAGCAGGTGGAGGTTAAGAGACGAAATAGCTACTATAGTATCGAACACAACGAATACAAAGCAGGATTCATACAGCTGCGTTCTGGAGCGGCCTTTAAATCGGCCGTTGCGTTTTAGAACATGGTTTCAATCTTACCTACCGAGGATTCAACAGTTTTCATCAAACATTCTAGACATTTTTCTCGGTAATATTTTTGCAAGGTCACTAGCGATGTACTGTGCTGTTATTTAAATTGTTCATTTGTTCTCCAAGCTTGGCGGTTTTGTTGTAAAGGTCTCACCCCCATGCGAAGTGGCATACTCAGTGCAGTGAGCGGCGGCGTGCAATCTTACTGAATGTATCGTCCATCCGTGATCGACCTGCAGGTGACTTTTGAAAGTGGCAGTCTCCATTTGCATCCCGTGACCTCTAGCCAATTTCCCCACGATTGATGTCGGCGCCCAAGTTGTTCTGCCTTAAACCACTTGATAAAATCTTCATTATCTCATTCTGTCGAAGTGTTTGGTATAGTGAATCGATGTCGACGCGCATGCTGATTGAGTTTTTCGTGCTGATATTTAAAACCTGCTTCGAGATGCTGCGCGTGCCACACGTAAATTTATCAAAGGCGCTTTTGTAACTTAAAGAACTATCGTCCCGATTGACAAACAGGAATCGGACACTGTAACTTCAACAGAAAGCAAATGCCAATGATTCACATTTCAGTCCGTGGTTGAGACCGCTGAACTACGAGGGACGGCAGTGGTCGTGGGACGAGTTCCTCGAGCTAGTGGCTTCCTCGTCCCCAGACACACCGTTTAACTTCCACATGGTTTACATGGTGCCGCCACCACACACGGACAATGGACTGCAGACAGCGGTGCTCGAAGACGGATAGTCGTTACAAACTCAGGGTCCCCAGCATGAACAAAGTATCACATCAGCTTTGTATCGAACGAAGAATCGTAAACTTATGGAATACACTACCAGAAGGATTAATAGAGGCCGATTCTGTGAAGTGTTTTAAAACCCGTATCGACGATTATTTTGGAAACCTGTGCTTTTGTGAAACGATGCACATACAGTGCCAAAAGAAGACATTGTATGTCCGGAAATAATAACGCTAGTACAAATTTCTAACCGAACACGGATAAACGATTAACGGACCAGACACAACTGCTGGTAATTCACAAGTAAATTTTGATTTTTCGTAATTCGATAGAGTTGTACAGAAACCTTTCTACTCGCTCTTAAATACAGTCTCAGTCTCAATCTCTGCGCAAGTCACATTTACGAATGGGCTAGGTCTCGTACCTGTACAACAGTACAGCACGAACAGTTATACAGTAGACCCGCCCTTTGATGGAGAGACGGATGTCGTGGCAACGCCACAAGTGCCTCAGTCTAGAAAAAGTGAGGCGTGCTCTTGATATGTGCATCGAAACCTCGTCTTTAACAGCTCCGCCAGTAGTGATGCAGCTTCCCAAGTAATCAAAGCTCTCCCCAACCTCCTGTTTTACCACCAAGAGTGAGTGCATGCACAGACACCTGCCAGTCTTGAAAGATAGCCTTGCATTTGGATGGGGAAAAGTACGTATAAACCGCCCTTTTCTTGTATTTCATTTATTTTCAAGAACATTTCCTCATCGTTATTTTTGTTATCCTGGCAACCGCTGAGAAGTTAACTAAGTCTCCAAGCAACCTAATTCTTTAACCTTATGCAGCGTACGTGTATACGTTGTTCATTCGCAATCCTTCGGTATCGCTGCCTCGCATCACTCTTCTTGTTCAACATTGCCATGGATGATATCTTGAAGAGTGTTCTGGAAAAGATGATGTTGTGTTGGTAGGGAGTGAGTAACTTCGTGGTTTGGAGGATGCTGACGATATCGCCGTAATCAGCAAGCTCTCACAGCCTGCACAGGACATGCTGGTCAAACAGTTCAGAATAACGTTTACCCTTCAAAGCGCAAGGCTTCCATTCGGGAATAGGTAGAAGCTGCCTCTACCCCTATATTCTCCTGCTCCTTTGGAAGATGCATAAGTGAGGGAGGATTGGCGGATGAGATGGCTTTCGCACATCAACTAAAGTTGTCGTTGTCTACCTCCGATAATTGGCGCCCGCGTGATCTTAGACTTCCATCGAAAGACTAAGTCTACACCGCTAGGATGTGAAAAGCGCTCCTCTATGACCAGGCCTCGCCAGCTCGCGCGTGTGCGATGTTCAGAGACTGATTTGATTACTGTTGCCTGTGGAGCGACATTATGGTTATGACGTTCGCAGTGGAATTTTCGAGTTAAACATGTTCCGCTATATCAGATTAGTGTGCGCCATTGATGACTGGAAGCAAAATGAACGTGGTCAACACACAACCTGGGCTCAGGGCGATGGCATTACAGCTGTGAACAATTGGGCGCTCCAGACTCCGAGCCAAAGGACCGTGAGTACACATGGTTGGAAACACAATGGGATATGGTGCGGAATGGTGGCCAATGACGAACGTGTTGTGAGACTAGCCTCCTCTCCATGCATTTTCCCGCTTCATTTTATCGTTTTTACCCATGTCTAGTGGCACTCTGCCAATAGCATATTGGTTAAATGACGTATATATATATATATATATATATATATATATATATATATATATATATATATATATATATATATATATATATATATATATATAAGCGGAACGCATTTACGCTGCGTAATTAATCCGAAGATGCAGAGAAACCGTAAGTGTTAGCTTCCTTGGGCATGGTCATATATCGTTCCAAGTGTCGTAGAACCGCAGATACTAAACCAGCAACATAATCTCCATCAACTAATCAAGGACTTCGCCCAGACGAGTGCACATTGCAGTTCGTCATCACGGCAGTTCACAGTAGTATATCTTCTGCTGTCTGTCATCGTGCGCTCAGCCTTTTCACTGAAATAGTCCGCTGGGCTCGCGGACACTCGGTGTGTTTTGACCCTGTGCGATTGGAACATTCAGCAACGACGGAACGGAGCTAGAGCAGTCGCGAATTCAGATCCCCACTATTTTTATTCTTTTTCGAACTATCAACAATGGCAACAGACGGAAAATAGCAAGAAACTGGATTAACAAAGATAAACGGATAACCATGTGATATGAAGGTAGTCTGCGTGAAATGAGAAACGACGAACTCGAGCGGCGAGCGTCCATTTAAAGTAGCGTTTACATTTTGGAGCTGGCTTTCATGCACACACTATGCGCCTGTGGTGGACCAAAAGCAGATATAACCGCGCCTAGTGTCAGCAGTATGCAAGTACCAAGAAAGCCAGATGGTAGCGACTCAACTGCAGACTCTGCGGAAGAACGCTCAGAAGCCGTAGATATACGTGCACTAATGGATACAGAAGCAGGGTGCGCCACGCAGGGAGGAGGCTGAAGATTGGTGGAACATTGGTTCTGAGGACTGATGTATATATATATATATATATATATATATATATATATATATATATATATATATATATATATATATATATATATATATATATATATATATATATGGATGCTATATTTGCCACAATAAATAGCTCCGTTCGTGCCTTGGGTTCTTACACAGCGATTGTGTGACGGTCATCCATTCTTCAGATAACTCGGTTATCAGGCATAAAACGAGAGTAGGTAGAGATTCCAACCTGAAACTGTGTTTGTCACTGACGGCAAGTGGTATGGGACATAGGACCTTGCAAACCGAGCAGCACTGGTCCTAGAAAACTGAAGTTTATGACTCTGGATCTTCCGCTCGTCGCTTCTGTATATCGACAGATGGCAACTCAGTATTGAGCAGTCTAGGCAGAATTCTTCTTTATTGGCAGGGGGTGAACAGAATCTGTTCGGGTCATTGCTGCTTAGCTACGTACATTTGTTGATGGAATTAGCTACACTGACCGTGGATACATGATGCTGTTATGTTCGCTGATACGACAAATAGTTGATTAGTAATGGTGGCCTAAGGTATAAGAAAATCATGCTCGTTTAAACTGAAGAAACCAGCGAAAGGAGACACTAGACAAGACGTCGGTCATGTAAACACAATCTATCCCCATAAAAATGCTATCAGCAATACTTCCATACTTTGAACCCACACCTCGCTGCTAGGCGACAACCGTCAGTAGTGCAAAAGCTAGGGATACTGCGAAGTCCTTTGTACCCACATAAAAATTCGAAGCAACGCATTGGTGTTTGGTGTTTTGCTTTCGTCTACCAGCCAACTGCCTAAGAGGAGAGCGGTTCGGAAACGTACAGGTATCGAAAACTAGAAAAAACCAACCCCGAACTATGTAATGCGTGGACTAACTTCGACTGCAATAAATCGACCAACCACAGAGTAGACGCATAAAGTCCCGGATGAAATAACTCTAAGCATTGACATAAAAAGTTGCAAGGAAACTAAGAGACAGGCTGCCAAATGGCGAAAGTAAGACCACTCCACTCACCTTGGCTTTATCTACTTCAAAGGCAGAGTTCTTGGTCCCGATCTTATAACGTCGCAACAAATCCGTGTCCACAATCCAGGGGCCACTGAAATTGGGTCCATATCGCATCGCATGTGCCCGAATAAACAAGCGGATGTGCTCCTTGGAGGGGACACGACTGACACGACTGAAAAATGTGTTCAATCAAATGAGAAGCTGCGTTCAATCTAGCTGATGAACCATGAATCACATGCCAACATGCAATGGAACAAGTTATCTTGAGTAGTCGTAATCAAAACAACGACCAATAAAGAGGGGTAAATAGAAAAAGGAAAAGCGTCAACAGAACGGAAACGGAAAACACAAAAGGGAACTGGTTGGCTTGCAAACCCGGAGGTGAATCGACCACTGCATTATTCGGCGGAGCTGCACACCACCGGGTGTATAGACGCTTCGCCGCCATCAGGATATGTTGTCCCTGAGCTTCGCTTTTTAAAGCGTTGCAACGCCCCTGGCCCCCTCTGGATTATTTCATAATTGGAGGCCCAGCACTTGTTCGAGAGTTAACTTGCTTCCTCCAAGAGATTTGGGTCACCGAAGTTAGTCTATCTGATTAGAGCCCAGCAGATTTCGTGTTCGTCTCCAAAAATCGTACCCGAACTAACTACGCCAACTGTAAAGGGGTTAGTATCATGCGTTGCTTCCAAGGTGCTCGCCGATCTTCTTTTAAGGAGACAGCATGGTACGTGAACAGAGCATATGTGAAGAGCAAGCTGGGTTCCGCTCAGGTCGGAGTTACATTGATCACATCTTTACACAGGCCGTCAGAAATGTCCTGTGTAGGTTGAAGGTGTCTGTCTCCCAGTTTGGAATGACCACCCCATCGTACTGCAAGGTCTTCCTGCAGGACTGGCGGGGCGCTGCTCCTATCCTTACCCTTTCAGGTGATTCGTTAGAGGTGGTAGACAAGTTCGTTTACGCCGGAAGCTGCCTCAGGGTTAATGGTTTAACGGATGAGGATTCTTTGTGAATCTTCAAGGCTAGGGTTGCTTTTGCTAATCTCCGCCATCTTTAGCGTCGAGGCGATCTGAGCCTCTGTCTGAAGGACCGAGTATGCAATGCCACGGTGAGAGCGGCCCTGCACTACGGTTCCGAGACTTGGCCTGTTCGCGTAAAGGATGTTGAGAGGCTGTCTAAATTGGATTACAACTGCCTTCGGATCATTGCTAGTGTACGATGGCAAGATGACACTATTAATAAGGATGTTCGATGACTGTCAAATAAAACAAATTTTGCAGGCCGCCGAGCTGCACAAGTTGACTGCTCAGACTTTAGTAACTTAGGCATGTGCCTAGCATGCCTACTCATCGTTTATCCCATCGTGCCAACTTCGGACTCACAGAAATCGGCTGGAAGCGAAAGCAAAGTGGCCGACGTATGACTTGGGTCAAAAATATGAAAGAGCTAACTTCAAAGTTAGCCATGGCTAGGTGCTCTTGACTTCACGAACATGCATGGCTGGTAATCCTCGCGGATATGGCAAGAAAAACCAGACGCAATGACGATGTTGTGACACTCCACGCTCAGAAGTATCAACAGCTTGATCATGGAAGATCTGATTCAAAGTGGGCATCAGATTTTGATAAAAGATGCCTTCAAAGTCTATCATGCCGTACCGAGGCGATACCCGAAAGGGTTAAGGAAACGCCTCTTGCAGACAGCTGAAGCCATCCCGATCCGGCTAAAAAACTAGAGCTATGCAAGCATAGGGTGTTTGTGCAACCCTTGACTTTGCAATGGCCCTGAGGATAAGTTTCCCCGGAGTATCACGCATAACCGGATGCTATTTATTTACGTAATTAACTAATTTTATATGGTTAGTATTTTTGCCTTTCTGTTTACACAAGTAATTTTGCTGTCTATTAGCCTTATCAAAATGTCACCTGATTAACTCGATTCGAGCATCAAACGAACATGCTAAATCTGTTCAAACCGTCCCATCCGTCCTCCTTGTTGCCTTCACCAGTTTACTATTGCATTTGTCAGTCCTGCAGTTTTAATTGCCTGATGTGAACTACCGGAAAGAGATCTCTTTGCAACGTTGTGTTTTACTTTTCCATGGGCATTATTTATGCACTAGACCATACACTATTTTTTATCTTTTTCCTCTTTTCGTTTGTTTATGATATTTCCCATACGTCGTAACACTATGCCGATTGCACTTGTGGCAATGCGTTGAATATATATATATATATATACATATATATATATATATATATATATATATATATATATATATATATATATGGATTGGTCCCAAACCTAGGAGGCATGCTGATCTGACTGAAGCTAAGTTTGAGGCTGCTTTTTTCATGCTCCTTTTCCAGGTCATTGGTTGTCCACCGCGATACCATTTTCAATCGCTTCCGGGAAGCGCAAATCAGGCTCGCCAGGGAAGGCCATAGGCTGACATCTGCAGTACGTGGCCACGCCAACGAATGCGGTGTCGTTTTGAAGATGGACTGTTCGCTCCAAACACTCGTTCGGGAAGCTCCGTATTGCTTATGTGATGTTGCCACAAAATACGAGCAATCATTCGCAGACAAAGTTTGTTAAAAACTGACAATCGTCTCATGTCTTCCGAACGAACAGGCCAGGTCTCACAGTCGTACAGCAGGACCGTACGGACGAAGGCATCGTACGCCCTGCACTTGAGCTTGAGACTGACGTCATGACGACACCATGGGTGTCGCTGTTTGATGAAAGCAAGCCGAGCTTTTACAATGCGCTGTAATACCTAATCTCCGACATCGCCACCAGCTGCGATGCGACTCCCTAGATAAGTGAAACAATCCACTTGTTCCAGAATGTCACCAACAATGGTGAGTGCGGACGCAGGCCCCTGCCAATCCTGAAATAGCACTTTACATTTGGCTGGGGTGAAATACAAGCCGTAGTTGAATGTCTCAATTGCTAATCGGTTCAAGGTGTCTTGGACGATTTGAAGATCATCACCCAGAAAAGCGATGTTATCGGCGTATTCCAAGTCCGCGGTTCTGGAGCCTGGGAGAAGCCCAATCCGCCGTTCTGGACACATGCTAGCGCTCGTTGCACAACGTCAGCGATGGCAAAAGTGAAGAGGAGAGGTGAAATAGAGCAACCTTGGCAAACACCAGCGGTGACAGCAAACGAAGAGGAAAGTCTGCCGTAAGCCATAATTTTGCCCATCGTATGACTGTACAGTTCTCTCAGAATGGCAACAAACTTGTCGGGCACACCCTTCCTTAGTAGACAATTCCACAAAACCCTTTTGTCTACTGAATCGAATGCCGCGTGGATGTCGATTGTTGGTCGATGGTGGACATGGCGGAGCTCGAGAATTTGTCGGATCGCGAAGATTAGATTGATGCAACTTTGGCCTGGGCGAAAATCGACTTGTTCTTCTCGGGGAAAAATCTCTCTGGTGAAAGAAAGCCTAGGAAGTAGGATGGACATAAAAATATTAGAAGGAACTGAGATCAGTGAGATTCCGCGGTAATTGGCGCAATCTTGGCGGGGGCCTTTCTTGTGAAGCGGGACAATGATTGAGTCTCCCCACGAGTTGGGGACTCTCTCACTTGCCCAAAGCTTCGCGAAAAGCGAGAGCAATTCGTTGACAAGTACGTCCCCGCCACGTTTGAAAAGAGCCAGAGGAAGGCAGCCAGAGCCGAGAGCTTTATGCTGTTGCGCTTTGAATCTCTACTACGGTAGGAGGGTCAGTGGAGACAGGCCAAGCAAAAACCGGCGGAGATGGAGGTGCCCAAAGGGTTGTGCTGAGTAGCTAAATTGAATAGCAAAGTGCCCTGCCCAGCGCTGAGATCGTTTCTGCAGCCTGATAATTTTTGGACCGTCTAACTCGCAGATTGTCCGACTGATGGCATGTGAGTTGCAACTGGAGGCCTTGGTGAGGTAAAACAAACTGCGGCAGCTTCCATCCGATGCATCGGCTTCAATCTCAGCAGCACGCCGAGACTACCAGGATTCATGATCAGAGCGAAGGCTTACTTTCAGCTCCAGAGAAATAGATCGACGAATTGAGTTGCGTTCTGCAACGGTGAGCACGGCGCGTCGACGATCCAGCAGTTTCGAGGAAGCTGTCGAGATTCAGCTATTAACTGTGCAATGGATGAGGCCGCAGCTGGATAAACCTGCGGACAGCATGGCATTTTGCAAGCCTAACCAGTGTCGTTAAACATCCATAGAAGAGAAGAGAGCAGGGTTTTCACGTAGCCTCTGTTGATACTATGTTTGTACTGCAAAATCTTCCAACTTGTAAACGTTCAGTCAAGTTTGTTTGGCCCTTGCAGAGTCAATGAAGCGCATTCAAATTGTCGCGCACACCAATGTACGATCGGTTTGCACACAAAGTGACCAGTATGATCGGCAATCCCGTATACTTCCACGTCACCTTCGACTTATGGTTATGTGGTCAATTTGCGACCAGGTGATGGGGTGACGAAAGTTCGTATTGAAGAGGAAAAGTTGATGATCGCCACATAGAATGAGCAATTTTTTCCATTGTCAGGTCGAACATCATCATATTCCTGTGGTCCCCCGAGGTAGCGTTCAAATGGAAGCAGCCGACCAACGGGTGAGTTGAAATCCCCAGCCATAATGATGTGCACTCTAGGTGCCGCTAGGAACAGATCATGAAAACTTTGATAGAACTGATCACTTACTGCATCGGAGCTGCACTCAGTGGGGGCTTAAGCGGAGATCACAAAAAAGCATGCTTATCGGCTCGATGTCTGATAACCTTGCAGGAGTCATGGAGTCTGATAGCACAGAGATGGCTATTGAGTGGAATCCACTCAAGGACAGCGGCCACGGCTCTAGCACTGAGCGCAATCCCAACACCAGTTTGCTCAGAAGTGGCAGACTCAGTGTCATCAGAAAGGCGGAGATGAAAATTGGTGTGGGGGTGGATTGGTGACAATAGCTGGTGGACTGTGTTGGAGTTCTGAAGTCGTGTCTCAGTTGGGCAGCAAACAGTAATTGCAAGGGTTTCCAAAGTGCGCGCCAGTCCCGCTTGTTGCCCGATCTGCAGTTGAGTTCGTACATTTGGTGTTGCTAGCTTGTACTGAGTTGCAGACTGCGGAAGCGATGATGGGAGACCTTGTGATTGGTGATTCCCTGAGAAGTTTTGTGAGGCTCAGTTGGCAGATGTTGATGGAACGAATGCACCGGTGGAGGCAGAGTTGTTCACTACTGAGGAATCAGGTATTGAAGTGTGAATGATACAAAAAGAATATAGGTACTGAGGTGGCGTGTGATTGTAAAGCTGGTGTAGTAGCAGAAGCGTAGAACATGGTGAGAGCGAGAGCATGAGTGTGTTGCCATGGTGCCTCTGTAGGCGACATACTCCCCGGTTGCCTAGGAGGAAATAGGGAATTGTCTTAGGGGATTCCACCCCGAGTTTTTGGTTAAATAGCCTATCCACCATGCAAAGGAGCGAATTAAGAGAATCGAGCCCAATGATAGCCTATGATGGATTTCTCGGTTCATACGCCTTTCGTTCGGTCAGGCATCAAACAGAAGCTCAATCCATGACAAATTCAGCAGCAAGCTTCTGCAATACCATGCTCCACCGGAGGGAAGGAAGGGGCAGTGAGTTTATTTAGTGGTGTCACATTCGTCAGGTCGCAGTGTTGTTAAACGGACATTTACAGTATTGTATAAGGAGAAGACTTGCTAAGCGAAAATCCACCACGTCTTAGAACACCATCACCGAACCATTCGCTGGAATGTGAAAAGCCGATGGTGAGAACAAGTGGCCTGATGGCCAAGTTCTATAACATCGTTTTGCTCTGTGGAAATGTGTAACACTACCGGAGGGGCGAATAACATGCCCGAGCCTATATCGTGACATATGCACAACAACAGGGCTCTACTCAAGCAGCGATATGCAGTTCGCATGCTCTACATTTGTCAGCCAAGCGAACAACAGTTTTAACTCCGAAAAATGATGAACTAATTCATAATCATAAGCGGTCAAAAAGTCGAAAATGAACAATAAATCACGTACTTGATAGAACAAGCGGGCACGTCGTTTACTATCAGAGGGATATCAGAAAGGACTTTGATGGTGTACGCGTAATTCTTCTGATAAAAGAGAAAATACAAAAAATGATTAACCAAATCTTTTGGTTTACTTTTACGGGAGTGTTCTTTTTGTTGGAAAGATTTTCCTTGTCACTGCTATTGGGCGAAGTGGTCGATCCAGAATGATTTGCAGGTTCCTGAATAATATAACGGAATTACAGCAAAGAATAATTACAGGATCGGGTATGCTTGACTTGTCCACATCGTCGATCACCCCCTGTATGCTACAAATAAAGCAAACGGATGAAGCGAAGGAGAACAATTACGGGTTCATGGATACGGAGTCCACTTTCAGATTCACTGGTTCGGAAATATGGAACTGTTCTTGTAATTGCGTCCAGCAGTTGTGGACTAAAGAATCTAAAGGAAGAGTGCCTTAAAAACGTGACCGAAAAAAGTTCATAGGCATTACTCAGGTGAACGTATTTGAGTATAGGCTGAGCGAAGAAATTCGGAAAACTTTTCTTTAGAATGCGGTGATAATTTGCTTCGCTTTTAGCGGCATCCCTGTAGGTTAGATTCGTTTTTCCAGATACCCGACAGGTCCAAATATTTCCAGCATATACAATGTTCTTTCGCAATAGTTCCTCGGCGGAGCTGCAAATTTCTTGGGTTTCCAAGACTATGAATGGAGGCTTCTCTTCTGGTTCCCCGGAATGATCTTCATCCTTAGTTTTTTTCTTTTTCCAAACCTGATTGAGAACATGCAGTTTCGAACCCAACAACGGCATCTGAAACGTGAATAAGTGGGTTATTCCTAATGTAACCGAAGGAAAAACAATCAGGGACATGAGGACAAAAAGTAAGGAACAAAGACGATGAAGAGAAATTTTGAAGATGAAAAACGCCACACATAAAGTGTGGATAAAAGTCAAATAAAAACGCCAACAACAGGCGGCACAATGTAAAACGTCTACAAAGTTTTGGAAACAAAAGTTAGTGAAGACAGGATGAGGGCTCAGGAGTTCATTATATCGGATGCACTACTAAACAATGCCCTATGTCTATTCATAGACTGTTGGATATATATATATATATATATATATATATATATATATATATATATATATATATGCAAGACAAACGGTTCGGAGATGGGGTGCCGGGTACCAAGTGCTGCACTTTGGCACTACTCGTTCGGCGTCTGTAGTAGATATGACTGATTCTTCGAGGGGATAGAGGGTCAGAAATGAACAATGGTCTCGGTTTCAGCGCAAAACGTTCTAGTTTCAGATCCACACAGACACTGGTCACTGCTCTGAAAATGGGTATCAGCATCAGTAGCAGTACACCAGTACGCAGCACCGACGCTTCGCTGCGTGAGCTAAGGATACTGCGAGGGTACCCCGGTCCCCTACGCAGGTTCGAACCCGTGCGCTCGGACTAAAAGGCAGGCTCGTGATCCGTTAGGCCACGGGCTGCGCTGAAAATCATTCTCTTGACCAATAAGCTTACAGTCGATTATCTACATAAGTGAATGGAGACTCTAAAGATCCACGTTGGACTCAGAGATGTGTGTCAACACTAATGATGTGAACATCAGAAGTGATGGGGCTACCCAGAGTAAACGAATTCAACACTTCGAGTGACTATTTCATGATAGTGGGAGGAGGCGGGATGTTGGTCCTATTCTGTGACAGTCCATCGTATCAAGACTGGATCTTAACATGTACGATGGTTCGCGTGTTTCAACGATCCACTGAGCTACGTTGGGTGGTCCTTCTTGGACCATATAGAGCCATTCACCCAAGACTCGTCAGAGACAATAAATTCAGAACGACAAGTTAGCGAACAAGCTCGTTTTCGGTGTCTCTCGTCAGGCTAAAACACCACAACTGATAGGAATAAGATTAACATAAAACAGCAGATAATTGTAGAGTTCAAACTTCAAGATCATTGGAAAACAGATCAGAAGTGATCGATGGACTGTCGGCGGCATGTCCCTCAACGAGTCGTTGTGATAGAGGGCCAGGGCAAACACAGAATCTGAACGAATCGTTTTTGAGTACACAAGTCTGGGTTCTGGTGGCGGATAGCAATTGCCTCAGCTGCTGCTAGTAAGCTGGTTCTACAGGTTGGGGGTAAGAGTGAAGGTATTGTACTGATTGTACAATTCCATCTTTCCAAGTGTACATTCTTATTACCGTTGTCATCATTTATTGCACAGTTTGTTTCAACTAACCGAAAATCGAAAAACACTTCTTCAAATTTCGATTGGCTTTCTAGTTTCGGCTACGCGTGTTGTGTTGTCGACCGTCGGTCTACTTACCTTGGTCATCGAATCTACCGCGTCGAATTGTTGTACTGACTGAAGTCTAGTCTTCCGAACAGGATTGTGCAAGTAATTAAAGGCCTACCGACGACAGTGTATTACGGAAGGTTAGATCTTGCCTTCTTACCTCATGGACAGAGTACTTTTATGTAGTTAAGCCATTTGGATTCAGTTTTCCAGTACAATGTCTCCTTAAATCATACAGCAGACATTGCTTAGATCAGAGCCGAAATCGCGCTGCTTTGCGGCCACGTTTTTGGACCAAAAGCTTTGGGTAAGTATTCCAATGGTTCTCCTGTTTAAGCCTAGGAAAGTTGAAAGTAGCATGCCCATACAATATAAGAGAAGCAACTGGCAAACAACTTGTGGGTGGCTTTTCTGTCGCACAGAATATTCAATGATGTACAATCTGCTGTATCAAGTTGGGTGAATGAGGATGAGGATCCTAATGCTCAGGCATTTCCGTTCTCTTATTCAACCTTCTACGCTTTGCATCCTTATGGTCCAGTCCCAACCTCACTTCCATCCCCACTCTTTGCAACGCCCCGTTCCTTGACTGCCTCCTAACTTGTTTCAATAGAGCCGACTCAATGCCCTAAGGATTACAAGCATGCCTTGTAATTTGAGGGCGCATGTTCGAGCCTGCGTAGGGTAACGGGCAACCCCCGCAATATCTCCAGCCCACGTGCGACTGGTGGTAGTTGCGCCACAGAGAAGCGTCGGTACGGCGTACTGGCGTGCAGCTGATATTTTTCTTTTTCCTGCTTCAATATGCGTCTGGCTTCTATTACCGACACACACAACCGCAGGGTGTCGCTCCGCTTCAATCGACAAGTCCGTGTTTAACCGAGGAAAAAAGTCAGTTCACCCGCTTCAATTTGAAATCATCGATCCCCGCTAAGCTTGGAATTTCGCAACGTGAAGACCCCCCTAGAAACCGGTCTACATACAGTAGTCGTTTGAACAGTAGAGACCCTATTGATAGATATATGCTGCTTATCAGGAACTCACCTGCAAGGCTCGACCTTTGCGCTCACCATACGATACACCTAAATGCTTCATATTCTCATTGCGCTTGTCCGGAGATAACACAGCTACGAATACCGATCAAGATGGTCTGAGTCCCGGACTGATGCTGCCCTGATCTATGGTATCTTAGTCAAAGCTGGATGTGTGACGTCTGGCTGGCGCAATTAAAGAGCCGAAGTCAAGCAAGAGCAGAAAAAGAAGCCATCAGCAGTACGCCGGTACGCAGTACCAACACTTCGCTGCCGTGCAACAACCAGAAGTCTCACGTGGGCTAAGGGATACTGCGAAGGTCGCACTGTCCCTACGCAGGCTCGAACCCGCGCAGTCAGATTACAAGACAAGCTTGTTACCTTTAGGCCACGGGTCGGCAGGGGTAACAGGTCTTTGCAGTCCAAGCCGTCATAAACTGTGGTGCTAACTCTGTGAAAATGACTAGTATCCCCCAGTGCAATGAGAATGGACCTTAACATAACGCGAAGGTTTCCGTGCCGCTTTGACCCATACAGATATACTAGATGATGACCACGGGCTATGGAAGAGCTACTCCTACCGGGGTTGTTCTATGGCTAGAGGTCATATAAACTCAGTCTTCTGTATCACAAACTAGGAAGTAGGATGGCGTCCAACTTGTAAAACAAAAGCAATGCCACAATCGCAGCCTTCTGGACATACTTTTGAGCCAAAGGCTTTGAGTAAGGTCTAGGTGCCCTGGCAGTGTCTCGGCCCAGGTGCAGCTATGACTATTTCCTTCAACACCAACTACATCCTGCACCGGCCGTCGAGCACATTAGTAAGGGTCACTTATCTGCTGCATACAACAAGGAGGATAAGCGAAATCATGCTACCGCTGGCGCCTCTCTTTTCTTTCCACCTGTTTCACACACCACCCATCCGACCCCATTATTGACGCAACTTAATGGACAGCAGCCACAATGTCATTACAGCTATCTTCTCGCATCACCCACTGGACGTCTATTTCTAGCAACCCTTCATACGCCATGCTGACCCATTTCCTTGATGGTGCTCAACGTTCGCACTCCAAGACACTTAGGTAAACAGGCTGCACAAGCGCACACGTTGGACACGCTGAGAATTGGCGTGTGTTACGCGTTCGAAACTAGAATCAATGAGCACCATGGAATTGCTGAACTAACTGCACCCGGGTGTGTCCTCTGCGATAACGCATCTGAAAATGCAGATGCAGAAACCACTGATCAAGTTGGGCTGGCCATTGTTGTCAGCTCCAAGACTGAGTCATTGTTGGTTGATTGGATTCCCGAGATCAGCCAACTGTGTGTAGCCCGTTTGACGACATCAACTAAGAATGATTCACGTAGTAGTGGCGGACGCTGTTTGTTTGTGGTTTCCGCTTATGCCCCGCCCACTAGTCCTCATGCTAACAAGGACGCCTTCTACCATACACTAAACACACTGCTACGCAGTGTTACCAGCTCAACTATTATTGTTCATGCAGGTTATGTGAATACGCAAGTAGCTCTACTGGACTCTACAGAAGCTCAGCTAGGTGGTAAATATGGATTTAAGTCCCAAAGAACCGAGGACGACGTGTCTGTTCTGTGTGCGGAGCACAGGCTGTTTCTTATAGCAGCACCACCTTTAGACAGAAAGAGAGCCGAAGTACCACTTAGAGTCCACCTATAACGCGCTAGCGATGGACCCAAATTAATCATGTTTTCATAGGTTACAGGTAGTGTGGTTCCATACTTGACTGTCGCTCATTCTGTAACACCTGCCTCGACCCTGATTATGCTTTAGCACGCTGTCGATCTTCCATGAACCTTAAGGACAAATGATGACAATGTGTCAGCTGTACGCCGTAACGGCGCTTCGCTGCCGCGCGACCACCACCAGTCGCGCGTGGGCTGAGTATACCGCGAGGACGCCCACCCCTACGCGGATTCGAACCGGTGACCTTATGGTTGCAAAGCAAACGTGCAGACCACTCGGCCACCGGCCGACATGAACCTTAAGGAGAGGCATACTACTCATCATCGTCATCACTACACATAAGCTGAAGGTGAGAAACAGTTCAATTAGTGTACCGTAATACATAAACATAAGATATACGAAAAAACAAGATATGAACATTACAGAATGCAAAAACGACAACAAAGTACTTAGTAACATAAGCGTCGAGATAGAGAGATCAAGATTGGAAGGCGAAAGCAAGCGGGATGGGGAGGGAGAAAGAAACTCACAAGAAACGCCACTGAGGTCGGTTCCTCACCATGTCAACAAGTGTCTTTCGGACCCTAGCCAAGCAGTCGGGACACATCGACGCCAACTTCGAAGTAATGGACTTCATTCCACTTGACTAAGTCATTGCTTCGCCTCTACTCATGTTCCATCCACACACGTGGCGCGCAAATAACATACGCAGCAGAAGTCGGCGGGCTGGCATGCACAACAA